GTGCTGCTGGTGCAGATGCTGGAGCGGGCCGCCTTCTTCGGCGTCGCCGCCAACCTCGTGCTCTACCTCAACAGCAAGAACTTCAACTGGGCGGGCGAGCAGGCGTCGCGCGCCGCGCTCGTGTTCCTGGGCGCCTCCTACCTGCTGGCGCCCGTGGGCGGCTGGCTGGCCGACGTGTACCTGGGCCGCCACCGCGCCGTCGCGCTCAGCCTGCTGCTCTACCTGGCCGCCTCGGCCCTGCTGCCTGCCACCGCTGTGCCAGATGGCCGCCGCTCCTTCTGCGGCGAGGTGCCCCCTTCTCAACTGACCCCCGCTTGCCCCTCACCCGGCTGCCAGCTCGCCTCGCCCAGCCCCTACTGCGCGCCCACCCTCTATGCCGGGCTGCTGCTCCTCGCCCTGGCCGCCAGCTCCGTCAGGAGCAACCTCACCTCTTTCGGTGCTGACCAGGTAAGTGACCAGAAGCCCAGCGAGTGTGCAGTCTCCGTGGGACTGAGACCTGGGGTCAGGACGTGCTGGTCTCCAGCGTGACCTCAGACAAACCACTTCCCCTCCCTGTGCCCAGTGTCTTTATTTGAAAGAAGAGGGGCGGTTAGCCCTAACAAAACCAATGGCAGCGACCGCAGGGCTAACTATAGTTGCCCTGCTCTGAGCTCCTGCAGGCCCTGTGCTGAGCTCTTCAGTGTTTTAGATCATTTAATCTTTCAAGCCACCCGTGAAGCATACATTATTGTCCCTATTGTATAGACAAGGACACTGAGGCTTCACGACATCAATGGCCTTGTCCAAGGTGACATGAAGAGCAGGTCAAGGGCAGCTGGACTTCAGACCCAAGCAGGAGCCCCATCTGTATGTGCTATAAGGAGGGGTGAGGACAGGAGCCAACCAGCTTCGTCCTACCAGCAGCATCACAGGTCGTCAGGCAGACTTGCTCAGATCTCAGCTCTGCCCCTCAGCAGGAGGGCGCTTAGGCAAATGTCTTAATCTCTGAGGCTTTCTTTATTCGGAATTGAACAGAGCATGACACGTAGGAGAAATTCAATAAATATTTGCTAAGTGGATGAGTAAATGCCTAACAGCATGGCTGTATTGATAGCTCTACCAAGTAGAATATTAGGCAAGAATTTAAAGTAATAAGTCATATTATTAAAACAACCACATACGGTGTTAACAAACAAAAGCGAGGTGTGGACGCGCCTCCACGATATGATTACAACCGCATGGAAAGAATGGACACCAGCTGAAGGGGGGAAACTGGGGGAGAAAAGTGAAATGGTGGCACCACCAGGCCACTAGATAAAGAATTTCCCCCAATAGTCTCTGTTTTTGACATGTTCTTTAACTGCATAGCTTACACTCATAAAGGAGACATTTTTAAAGATTTGTTCCACACAGCTGGCATCCAGTTCGGCACCCGGCACGGTTTCCAGTGTTGTTGCCAATGAATCACTCTGCCAGCCTGTTCAGATTCCTTGGATGATGGAGGACTCAGTGTCCCCAGCCAGCCTTGCCCACTTCTCACTCACTGGACCTTTCTTCAGGAGACTCCAAATATTTGCCAGTAGGAATCCCCTATCTTCCCCTAATTCTGTTCTTTCATTGACATTCCACTAGCACTCCCCTCTCACAGGGCCATTAAAGATGCCCATAACCTGTACCCTTGACCCCAATGACCTGGAGGGCCTCAGCCATCCAGGGTCCCTGTGGCAAGACTGGTCTCCTGGAGGCCAGACCACTGAGCGGAGCAGAACTCCTCCTGGCATCAACAATGACGGCGGCTCCCTGCACTCTCCCGTGTACGGAGCATGGACTCCGGGTGGGGCAAGGCCAGGTTGGAGGGCTGCCTTAAGATCTTGAGGCCGGGGAGTGGCATGGTGGTTAAGGTGCTGGACTCTCACATGGCCGACAATGGTTTGAGTCCCAGACCTGACAGCTTGCTTTCTCATTTTCCTCCTCTTTCTCTCTCTGGTCAAATTAAATAATAATAATAATAAATAAAAATTAAATACATAATTACAAAAAAAAAAAAAAAGACATTGGGATCTGAGGCGCCGCAGTGACACATCAGTACTACAGCTGGACCCAGTTAGGAAAGGTTCCGGTTTGTATCTCAGGACCTCCCTGTGAGCACAGGGCACGTGTGTGCGTGTTCATGTTCTGGGCTCACTGAGGCTGAGGCCGGGTGTGGATCGCCGAGGACCTCCCTGTGAGCACAGGGCACGTGTGTGCGTGTTCATGCTCTGGGCTCACTGAGGCTGAGGTCGGGTTTGGATCACTGTGTGAGGACACTGTTGAGGTGCCTATTTCTCTTTCTCCCTGGCTCTATATCATGAGGGGAAGAAGTCAAATATGACCCCTAGAACAGTACACAAGTAGTGAAATGGTTTGAGGCAGGATCAAGATTGCTGGATTCAAGTTCTCTAAAAATGGCTCTGGCCAGTGCCAACAGGTGGTAGAATGGTTAAGGCGCCGGACTCCTTCGTGGCCAACCACGATTTGAGACCCAGACCTGGTGGCTTGAAAATCACTCTGGTCGCATGTGCACATGCATACCCCAAATCCTGAGAGGTGACTGGAGAAGATTACTGTGTGGCCATCCCTCTGAGGGGGTGATTTCTCACTTTCCCTGTCTCTGTCTCTCCATCTCTCTCTGGCAAGAGCATGCAACCTACGGCAAAAAAATAAATAAATAAATAAATAAATCTAAAGAAAAAAAGCTCTGGCCTCTGTGACAAGAGTGGATGGATCAGAACAGTGAGGAGGCTGCTGCAAACTTCCGCGGGGGCAGTCAGATGGGAGGCGTGGGGGTGGAGGGCTGGCACCATCTGGCAGACCGCTGTACTCAGCAGCCGCGTGTTTGACACACTTGCTGATTTCAGAAAGGGCCATCCATCATTCCCGTCCAAGTGTCTGCTCATTGGAAGAACCCATTTATATCCTGAATGGGCTGTCTGTTCTTCCCCTTAGAGTCACAATTGTCATATTCATTTAGTTCCAATTAATAAATGGAGTGGCTGCTCATAACGAGACTTATTCAATTTTCTGCTTGAATGTCTAGTGCAAGGATTCTCGGTAGTTGGCATGGCTCTCCCTCCCCACCGCCAAGACGACCCCCCCCCCCCCGAATCTCCAAGGGAACGCAGTTTTTAGCCCATTCAGACAGATCAAAATTTTACATTTGGAAAGGGAACAAAATACTTATCTTTGTCCAATGCAGCTACAGAAACTAAAGTCTGACAGAAGCTTCTTAGAAATATGTATCTCTGGGGCCAGCAGATGGTATAGTGGTTGAGGTGCTGGACTCTTACGTCGTCAATGGCAGTTCAAGTCCTGGACCTGGCGACTTGAAACACACTGGGCGCGTGTGCAGGTGTGCCAAAATCTCAAGAAGAAATGGAGGAGAAAGGATCTGCCACATGGTCATGCCCCCAGGGGGTGATTTTTTTGCTTTCTGTCTCTCCATTTCTTCAGTGAGCACATGTGCCCTATAGCAAAAAATCTCTCAAAAAAAAAAAAAAAAG